TGTATTCATACAACGCAAGTGTCCCGTATGCGCAGTAGAGGACGCAATGGAATTACAAGCAAGTGTGCTCTGTGTTTACTAGGGCTGGGTAAAAAGAAAAATCGATTTAATCGATTTTGGATCGATTCCTTTACATTTGATGTCTAGGAAATGAGATCGATTCATTTTATAGTGACCCTTGTGACGTTCACATTCAAATGAGCAGGAAAGATGCAGTCAAGATGACTTCAAGCCAGACAGCTGCAAATATAGCCAATAGGTTGACTGAAGACATTAACAAATGGGGGCTGACCAGCAAACACCCTGTGGTTGATGCAGAAAACGCTGCAAATATGGTTTGTGCATTGAAGTTAATGCAGCTCATGAATGTCTGCTGTGTCCCCGCTGTGTCACGTCTGCTTGCTTAAGTGAGGCTTCACTTTTTCACTTTTCACAAACAAGTTTGCAGTTATAAGGCAGTTTTGTTCACATCTCAGTTTTAAACTGTCCGATTTACAAGTTTGTGTTTAATATGACAGGAAAAAAATAAAATACAGGAGTATTTTGAAACACAGTTCAACTACTTTCATTATTGTAAAAACAGATCGAATCGAAATTAATCGATTTAGAACTGTATAAATCAAAATCGAATCGATTCAGGAATGTGGCAAAAATACCCAGCCCTAGTGTTTACAGAAGTAAACATGGATGGTAGTGCCAGAGCACATCTAGCGATCTTTCCCAACCAAACTCAATCTAACTCAGCCGTTTGATTCAGGTGTGTTGGACCAAGGAATGATGTAAAAGTTGCAGGATACCGACCCCCAGGAACTAGAATTGCGCCCCCCCCCTGAGCTAACAGATCTACTCACTGAGAACAGGAGTATGGGCGGACTTCGGGTTTGGGCTGGTGCTTCTTCAGGTGTTTGCTCAGAGCAGAGGCTCGGTGGAAGGTGGCTCCACATGTGTTGCAGAGGTACTTTGACTCGCCTGTGACCATGTTTTAGAAGAAAAGGTTTAAGATAATAAAGCTGTGAGTGAGGAAGGTGATCGGATTTTCCAGATTTTGTTTTTTAGAAAGACCCCTGACCTGTGTGCAGGCTGGTGTGCTCCTCCATGCTCCTCTTGCTCACAAACGTCTTCTTGCAGTACTGGCATTGGAACTGCTTGGTGACGTCATGCAGCACGCGGTGCATCTTCAGGCTGTGTTTATGGGCGAACGTCTTGCCGCACACCTTGCAGGTGTGGGGCCGCACCCCGGTGTGGGTGAGCATGTGGATCCTAAGGGAGTACAGCTTTGGTAACGTCTTGCCGCAGATGTCGCACACAAACTCCCTCTTGGTGTGCAACGACGCCAGGTGAGATTTGTCGCTCGGGTCGATTTCTGCTCGGTCGGCGGCGCCGTACTCTGCAGAGGTTTTGGAGACGGACGCTCGCTGGCTCCTCTGCTGCTTGTGTCGAGCCAGGTGGGCTTGGAGGGAGGCGGCGTACTGGAACTCCTTACTGCAGAGCTGGTGAAAAAAACAAAACTAATTTTACATTTAAAAATAAAAACAAACAATCTGGAAGAAAAATCATCTAAAGGAAGTCAGTGTATGTGTAATGAATCCTCCTCCTAGGTTATTTCTCAGTGACACTCACGCTGCACTTGTATCCTCGAGCTTTCTCATGCTTCAGGGTGTGCATGATGAGAGAGTAGCGCCTCTGGAAGGACATGCCGCACTCGGAGCAGGTGTATTCTCCGTCCATGGCGCTCTGTGACGGAGTTTCCGGCTGCTTGGCTTCAGTCTCCGGCTCCACCACCTTTGATGCCGCTTCCTCCGCCTCCAGATCTCCTGCCGTCACGCTCTCCACGGTGCTGACCTCCACAATGGCCTCAGAATCGCCCTCAAACTTGGCCTCCATCGGCCTCTTTGGCGGTCTTCCTCTCTTCCTTGGACCGACCTGGAACATTTATGTTTGTTTTTGGGAGAATTTTATTATTTCTTTTTTAATCCAATTCCTTAAAGTATAACAGGATAAAACTGACTACTGCCTTTTTTCTTCACAGCACAGCAGTAGAGTTAAAGAAGCATTATGGAGTTTTCTAATGATACTGCCACCTGTGGCCAAAGCGCAGAACTGCAGCACTTTCCTTTATTTCCTAGTAGCTGGTGCCATTTTTTATTTTGTTTACTAAGTTTAGCTGAATACCTGTCAAATAAAATCCTTCTTGAATAGAGCGCTTTGATTGTTTGCTAGGTCAGACCCATTTCAATAGAATAATTATATATTCTGATTTAACCAAAGGATATCAGAGTGACCTACAGTGGGTGAGGTGACAGGCTGTGTGTGACTCAGTGGGAAAATCAAAGCGTTACAGCGTCTGAGAAAAAATATGTTGAGCTTAAAAAAATAGGATATTCATATCCTATTTTCTTAAGCTTTGCTCATGCAGTGTCATTTATTTTAGTAAAACCGATGAGTAGCTGTCTTCCCTCCTAGCAGTGAGGTTGATTGAATTACCATCAGGGCTCAGAGCAGCCGCCGATGGCTGCAGACAGTAAACTCAGCTCCAACTGTGGTTTTCACTTGTCAACAGAAAAACACCCAAAAATAAAAGCTGCTAGAATGATTGCTAGACCCTTTAGAAAAACAAAATGGGTCTGAAAAGTCGCTAAATATAGAGACAAAGTGAATTTACAGAAGTACAGAGAGTAGAGCGTTAGCCCCTTCAATCAGTGCTCCATTTCCTCAGGTGGAGGAGATCAGTATTACTACGTTTTCTGAGGTGAGACCCTGTGAAATACCACCTTAAAGGGGAATGCCGTTTCTTTTTTTTTTTTTACATTGGGCCCTTAATTTTACATTATTACATCATGTTCTACTCACCCGTATTAGTTTTTCGTCATTTGGAGCCGTTCTGAAGATATTCCGTTATGTTATATCCACGTAATGTCTTCCTATGGGCAACGAGTTGAAGGCACAAACTAAACTGTTCATAATTTATCATTTACGGTGATAAGCATTCATGTAGGTGAATCACTGTCCCCCAGACATCTGCGGTTATATTTTTTTTATATTTATATCTTTTAAAAACGAAGCGGCGTGTGTATGACGTCATCCGCGCGCGCCGGCTACCGTTCATTCTTCCTGTCCGCTGAACTGCTGCTAGTTTTTTCTCACATGCCTGGAAGATGTCTAGTGCTGCTACCACACATGATCTCAATCTCCAAATGGAATTGAACGATTCAGATTAGCTAGCCGAATATATAAGAGGTAGAGCGTAGCCGCCTGTGGCCCGAGCTGCCTGTCACAACTCCAGGCCGGCGCGCGGATGATGTCATACACACTCCTCTTTGTTTTAAAAAAGTATAAATATAATAAATATAACCGCGGATGTCTGGGGGACAGTGCTTCGCCTACATGTTATGAATGCTGGCGTACCATAAAGAATACATTATGAGCTGTGTAGTTTGTGCCTTCAATTTGTTGCCCATAGGAAGACCTTACCTGGATATAACCTAACGGAATATCTTCAGAACAGCTCCAAATGACACAAAACTCATACGGCTGACTAGAACATGATGTAATAACGTAAAATCAAGGGACCAATGTCAAAAAACCGGCCATCCCCTTTAATGATACTGATAAGCAGCTGAAGCTTGTCGCTCCATGAGGATGCTCTGACGTGGCCTGGGGCCACATAAATACCGGGTTTCGGTCACCATTTCTACTAACCACAGAGTAAAGAAACATCCAGAGGTTAGCTTGTACCTTAGGGGGAGTAGCAGGTGGAGGAGTTGTGCTCTTCCCCTCCTCCTCTTCCTCCAGGCCCATATGGAGGCGGGCGTAGCCGCCCTCAGCCATAGAGCGCTGCCTCAGCTGTCTTTTGCTTCGATCACCAGGTGTCTCCTCCAGCTTGTCGGCCTGCTCTTCTTCAGCAGCGGGGCTGTCTATCGGTGGAATCATCGGCTCCTCCTCCCGCTTCACCTTGGGTGGACGGCCCCGCTTGCGTTTTTGAGGAACTGAAAGAGTTTCTTCTTCCCGGGCATCTGCTGTTTCCTCCTGGGGAGCGGCCGTCTCAGATTCCAGCACCACCACCTCTGAGGGTCCGTCTTTGTCTGTTGCCACATCCACAACAAAAGCTCCGTCCTCAACAGCCTGAGGCTGCTCCATGGCCAGACAGGCTGACACCACGGCGAGGGACTCGCTGGCCCCAGCCTGCCCGCTGTGGGTGACAACGGTCATGGTGTCGCCCTCCAACCCCTCGGCACACCCTGAAATGAGCGTGAGGGTCTCGCCAGGCTCCACCTCCCCACCATGAGCGATCAGGGCCACGGTTTCAGTCTGTCCGTGCACTGCGTCTCCCTCCACTGCGTGAGTCAGAACCGCAAGCGGCTGCTGGATGCAGCCATCGCTGGGCTGCTCCACAAAAGCCAGAGTTTCCCCCGAAACAGCCACGGCGCTGTGCGTCACCATGCTGCTGCCGTCGCCCTGTATGGTCACCATGTAGGCCTCGGGCTCCTCCTTGTCACCCTGAGCGGCCGCTGGTCCCGCCACCACGGTGTGCACGTCTCCTTTCTGGTACACCGTCAGCTTCTTCTCCTCCACCTGCTTGTGCACCGACTCGCAGATCTGCAGGACCTCGGTCATCAGCAGGTGTCGGGCCAGGTTGGCGATGTCGGCCATCACGCAGAAGTTAAAAGTCAGCACAGAGGTGTAGGCGAAGTCCAACAGCGGGAGGAAGCTGGCTTTGGAAAAACCTGGAGAGATCAGAAGAACCAATGCCAACAATCAACTAATTGGATTCAAACATTTCATACGAAAAACAAATCTTGGAGGGGAAGGACGTGAGGAAGGAAGAGAAACATAACTAAATTCAATCTAGGAAATGTTTATTTTACTAATTCAAGCTTGAATAAACTAAAACCCTGATCCATATTTTCCAGGTTTGCGTGGGAAAGGGGAAGCGAGCAGCTTACCGGACAGGTCCACCACTGCTTCGTGGGTCGTTACGGCCCCTTTCTCAAAGAAGAGCTCGTTGAAGTATTCGCTGCAGGCGGCCAGGACGGCTTTGTGAGCGCGGTGCTCCTCCCCTTCGATCAGCAGCGTGATGTCACAGAACTGGTTGCTGAGACGCTGCTGGTTGAGCTTATCCAGCATCGTCTGGCTGTGTTTGGGCAGGAACTGATTCACCTCTCCTTTGCTGTTCACCTAAAACGATTTGCAAAGCAAACAGCTGAAACTACTGAGATTATAAACACTTCTTCCTCTGCCTTTTACTCTTTGCCATAATAGGAAGCCACTTACAAACACCACCTCATGCTTAGCCACCCCCTTGGCCGGCCGGGGCTTCTGGGGGGACAGGTCCATTGTGAACAAACTGTCCTCTCCATCTTCCTCCTCTTCATCGTCCTCTTCCTCCATCAGCCCGGCCTTTCGCCTCCCTGGCCGCGAGCACGGCCGAGGTCCGGAGCCATCGTCAACGGTGCGTTTGCTCTGACACTGGGGGCACTCTCTGATGAGGTCTTTGACGTTCTTCAGGATACCTGCATGTAAAAGAGAAGGAAGGAGGCACCATCAACACCTCAGTCCTGTTTTCGAAAAACCTGCTGCTAAAACTCATTTCATATTTCTGCGCCAATATTTTAGGAGAAAATTGGAGGTAAAATCATCTAACTTGACAAATAACAATATCATTAGTCTAACATTTGTGACACAAAGTCATAGTCAGGCCTCGATAAGAGGACAGTTGCAACTTCAAGCTAAAGAAAATACAAATTTAGTCAGTTTAATGCATTTATTTTTTAAATAAAAATGAATGAACATCAGCTGAGAGGAGTGGGTGCAAAAAAAAACAACCTTAGAGCTCATCTTCTATAGGCAGCACCAGGCTTTGTGAGTCATGGAAATGTGTGGTAGAGGTGATGTTTGGGTTTAAAGCTGTGGCTCTCGATACTTCCAGTAATCAATCAATCTACATTTTTTGATCAAATGATTAATCTAAACAAAAATACTTTCTGTAAATTAATATTTCCATAACAAATGTTTAGGACAAAGGAAACTGTGCATTTTATATTAATTATAAATGGCAAAAATATGAATATACACTGTACGTACATAGACATGTAATGATTTATATGTATAAGCAAAAATATTCAGAATCTCAAAAGGAAAGTATTATTAGTTCAGTTATTTAAGATTTGTGTTTATTACTGCTATAAAAGTAGGGCATTTATTTAGTGAAAGGTGTGTTTTAGAGTAGATATTCTTCGTAGAAATCAGATCAATTATCAAATTTGTTTTAATAATCGATCAATGGCGACTTATTCCATTAATAGCTCAGCCCTATATAGGTTTGTGAAGCCGAAATAACACGAATCATTTTGGACCAAAAACAAACAAAAAAAACAAGCAAGATTTACAACAATAGGAAAAATGATTAGCTGATAAAACATCTAAATGATAAAAAGTCTAAATGGGCATTGTTTGCCAATATTGTGCTGAAAAGGATGAAACAGATGCTCTAGACCCCTTCTGTCATCCCGACTTTATCTTTGTAAAACCCTTATTTTGGCTGTGCTGGGTCTGGCCACTCGGGTTACTAAAAATACCTACCGGTAATACTACTAGATATTTTAACACTAATTTGGCATATCATCGATACTAAATCCACCTTTATTTACAGATTTCCACTATTGTTTATTTTATATTTCTAAAAACTGTTCACATTAAAATAATACATCAAACAACCTTAGAATATATTAACATTTTGTTATTTTTGAGTTATTTCAAATGTATTTAGCTAATAGAGTCTGTGATTCTGTTGATAAAACATGTTCCATGATAAGTTTGGAAAAGTTTTTAATAATAAAATAATACATATTTCCATGCCTTTAACTGTTTTTTTAATCCCTGTGGTATCACCAATAATGAAAACATCCCAGAGATCATGTTGACGGCGGTCGGACGCTAGGTGGCAGCAGAGAGTAGCTCAATGCTGCTACATCTAACTAATGACGCCTGTTTTTTTCCTGCAATGTTTACGAACTAGCCCCGTCACTATACAGCCAGGCGGCTTCCTTTGGGCTGACCCCGGGGTCTTACCTCTCCACCAGTACTTCTGAGAGATTATCTCCCAGGTGAGCTGCTGGTTGAGGTGATCCTCTCCCTCTGTAATGTGCGCCTGGTTGATAAGTTCCCTCCTCCGGCTGTCCTGCAGCACCACCTCCAGTTCGGTGAAATCATTCTGGCCTTTCTGACGGCGCTGGTAAAACAGAGTCCCATTCCTCACCACGTAACAGGCCGCCGCTTTTCGGATTTTTCTCTTGGTATTACCGGGCGTCCCGGGCGCATATGGTTCCCGTTCATCCGTCAGATAGCGTATGATAGCCAAGTAGCTTTCTTCACACGACATGGCTCAGCACACCCGGTTGGTTCCTGCTGAAATGCGGTCTTATCTTGAATTAGAGAGGCCTTCCCGGTCCTCAGGAGAAAAGCGCGATTTTTTTTCAGACACCTAGATTATAGTTGTTGTGAAACAAACACGCCCAAACAACATTTTAATTTGTTTGCTAAGGTGGAACTGCAGTTCGTAACGGTCAGGGTAGCCTTGCCCGAACAGACAAAATGGCTGCTGCACAGCCGGATTTTGCGTAGACGAAAGCGGAAGTGAGCGTTGAGCGTTTTATACCACTAGATGGCGCCACGTCTCCTTGCAAACATTTGACATACAAAGACAGTTGAGAAGTTTTATACCTAACAGGAACAAGCACATAAAATCAAACAAATAATAATGTGAATACACATCAGTGTGTCACATCAGCCACTTGAAAAACTCAGTACCCAGCACACAGACTTTGTAGAATCTTAACTTAATGTCCCTTATGTGAGAAACAGATATTTTTTATAGTTTATTAATTGTATTAAAGCGTTTGTTGTTGACATGTGGCCAGGTTGTTCAGATGAGCTCTCAAATCAGAGTTGTAGTTTCTTTGTGGTCATAGATTCAACATTAAACCTCGATTCAATAGTGAAAGTTTGAGAATCAAGACTCTCCTGTTTTCTTTTTGGTTTGTTTTTAATAATAAATAATAAGCAAAATAGCTGTTTTCACTTTTTGAGCCATTTTTATGATGAAGTTCTTTACAAGTGGTGTGGAATTTGTAGCAGCTGGTTCTAAGCATCAATACATCAGGTTTTTCTGCAAGTTATAAGGTTCTTTAAAATGACTAAAAAATTAAACAGAAAAATACTGATAATAGAACATTTTGTTTGTATTCTTTAATGCTAATACTTATTGAATACTCACTTGAGTATACTCACCCCAGTACTACTGTTGAGTACTTCATCCACCACTGGACATATGCAGTGGAGATTATTTTACTCCAGAAAAAAACTATCAACAAATTAGTCAACATTTCTTAAATTAAGTGTATTTACCCTTCATTTGAGCAGGTAAATAAGAGGATTTGCCAATGGAATGAGATTTCTTTACTCTTAAAATAAGATAACTAGATAATATGCACTTTAAATAAGACAAGGCAATTTTTTTTTCTTATTTTATATGTAAATTATCTTATTCTATTGGCAAAGAATCTCACTTAACTCCTCAAATCAAGAACAAATGCACTTATTTTCAGAAAAGAAAAAAATGACTTATGTAGATTTAGATTTTTTCCAGTGTACATGGCTGCAAAACGGATTGGAAAAAGAAAACCCAACTCTCTCATTCGGATTTAAATTTCTTTCTAAATTCAGATTTATTGTCAATATTTCAAGTAGAAAACCTTAGAAAGCAGCCAGTGAGCTTTAGAACTCGGTCCTTTGCCTTATGTGACTTGGTTTACATCAGAACCTTGGCCTGTACAAGAAGTTATATCTACTTTGTTTTCTGCCGCTGGCAGTCAGGAAGGATTTAAACAGGACACATGGTGAGGCAAGTATTGACGTTTGCAATGCTAATGTCAGCGTCCACAGTTGAAATCAGCCCACATGAAACAGGATGACCATAGAAGACAAAATAGCAAGCGTGAAAAAGTAAACAACAGCCTTAAAAATTATTTAGTTAGTATCTCGCTTAACCCTTTATAGGGCGCTCAGCGAAATACTTTAAAAATCAAAATTTCAAGCCAATAGTGTTATTGGAATCAGGACAAGACCTTATCACCTTTGTAACATTAAAAAATGTGAATATTTTGGATGGCAAAAATGAATGTCAATTCAAGAAACATGTCAATTCAAGAAACACAAAGTTGCCCGAATATATTTAGAAAAATAACAAAAGTGCTTCTATAAAAAATTATTGAAAAACACTCTGAGAGTGAAAGAAACACATTTTATTTGCTACAACATAACCTTAGAGGCATTAATGCTGATACTGGCACTTACATTTTAGTTAAACCTAAATATAATTGTTAACTTTTCAATGAGCTTTTTACCTTTTTTTCTTGACTTGTTAACTTTTTTTTCCAACTTAATTGACAGTAGGTAATATATCATTCAAGGGCTCATCTAATTGGTCAAATCTTAAAATAAGTTGTAAAGCCATGTAGCAGTATCTTTGCTGAACGGCTGGATATAGAGCTTATGTTCAAACTTCCCCCTCCTATACACCCTTTCCAGCTCCTTTAAGAGAAGCGCAAAAAGTTGGGCTGTCCCTGGGCCTCCTCCTGGTGGGAAGTTCTTGGAGCACCTCCTGAAGGAGGCTCCCAGAGGCTCCCAGGGAGTATTGGAATGGGATGTCCAAGACAACTTAGTGGACTCTT